ATTCTGATTCTGTGGATTCTTTCCTATTATCATTTTTTTTTTTGATAAGGAAGCCTTCCAAAAAACAAACCAAAGGAAAGACAAACATAAGAAGCTCGTAGATCTAAAAATTTGACTTTAATTAACAATAAAATAAGATCAAATTACTAAACAGTAATAATATGTTGTGAGACATAATTTGGCAGGATGGCAGATTACATAAGAGAGGAACGTTGAAGACATTCCAAAAAGTATCTATAAGTGAAAAATCTATAAAATAGCTTAAGGTACTCTGCAAAATATTTACTGAGAGACAAATATTCTTGTAATGCTTTCAGTGTGAAAATCAGATGCATAGGGAAATAAGCCAAGTACTATTTTTAAAAATGTATTTAAAAGCAAAAAGGAAACCAAGAAAAAGATTATAAATAAAATTTTAAAATTATAAATTATTATTGACTATAATCTAAATGAATTTAATAGCTAATTCCCTTAACAGTGTTGAAATAAACAAAACTTTAGTAACTGCTTGGGTTTACTCCTGGAAGACAATGATGATTCACTATTATATTTATCTAAGCTATTGTATCAGTAAGAAAAAGCAGAAAACAAATGTTTTGTAACAAAATAACCTGAAAAGTAGTCAATAGGACTTAATAAGTATTTCTAATGGAAATGTCAGATAACAAAATAATTAAAGAAACCATTTTAAGTATGATTAAAATCTACTGACCAGAAATCACTACAATTAGCCTGATAATATATGAAAACCATTTTAAATAAAGTCTGAACTAGGCAGGATGCCTGTACCAAGACTGTTTCATATTACATTAAAGCTTCTAGCAAATTTTATAGCACATGTGCAAAACCTCCTAAATAATCATTCTAAATATATCCTAGTTTTTCTTCTAAGTGTCTGGAACAGTAAGATTGAGCTCCTTAGTCAATGCTTGAATTTATTTTCCCTTGACTTAACTAGAAATATCTCTTTTTACATCATTTACATTTTACAAATAGATGAAATTTAGAGTCAAATTATTGTTGTCAGGAAGCCCTCCAAGTTATCTTACATCTCAAGCTTCTATTGTAAGGTGTTTAAGGTTAAGATTATGACTTTCTTCGGATAGCACTTTACTTTAACTTATCATTTTTAGAAAGAAAATATTCCCTCAAGATTTTAAAGAATTGACTAAGGAGGACTAGATCAATAATGATTAAAGTACTATGATTATTCCATTGAAATAATGAGACAATGCAAATGTCTCCAATTTTCCTTTAATCCAACTTTGCAATCTGTGAAATGAAGACTTTAAATGTACTTCAAATACATTTATATACTACTGCAACTTGATATATTATATATAAGTAATTCTGTAAATGTTTTGTGGTATTATCCGTTGAAGATAATTTCTAGTTTTATCAACTGTACTAGGGGAAATGTTCACCTTTTGAAATACTCAAATACTGTGATTGAATATATAAAAGAAAATGAAATCAAAAAAGAAAAAAATATATGAGCTGATTTAAAAAGGTAAAACATTACAGTTGCTATAGGCAACACATAGTAATTCCATTCTTGGGGAGCTACCTAAAGAAATACATTTTGTTGGTAAAACACTTTCACGTTCGTGTTTATTGCCACAGACTGGTTTTATCAAGCAAAGGTGTGAGTGGTGATATTGTAGAGTGAGTTTTTTTTTTTTATTTTTCCTCTTTTGAGAGTTGAAGTACAACAGCAACTAATGACCATCTTACAGCTTTGCAATGTGTGTGGCTCACAGTCAGCATATGATGAAAAATTTCAAATATTAAAAAATTTGATAATTTCTATGAACTGACTTCTTTTGTCAGTAACTTTTTTTTTGAGAGTTTTTTTTTTGCTATAGGGCACGTGCGCCAGCCTGAAAGACAGAGAGAAACAGAGAGACAGAAAGTGAGAAGTCAACCCCAGGGGGGATGGCCAAACTGCAATCCCTTCTCCTCCGTTCTTCTCTTGGGATCTTGGGCATGCACACACACATGCCCAGCAAAAGTTTAAACCACTGGGTCTGGGACTTGAGCCTCAGTTGACTACATGGGGGTCCAGCAACATAGCCATTATGCCATCCGTTAACACTTTTAAAACCTAAAAACTATTTTAAGTTTTATTTTAGCAAAGGGAACCCAGTATGCTGTACAAGTAGTTTCACACTATGTACAAAAACACTAAATGACAGTATGTTCTTCATGTTGGTGACAGCGAAACCTAAAATAAAAACAATGATGGCATTATTATTGCTATTTAAAGGGAGAAATCACCCCCAGGAGGGATGGCCACAATCCCTTCTCCTCCATTCTTCTATCAGGATCTTGGTCACACACATGTACCTGGCATGAGGTTAAGCCACCAGGTCTGGGACTTGAATTGCAGTCGACTATGTGGGAGTCCAGCAACGTAACCATTTCACCATCTGCTGGTTATTATTATTATTATTAAATTCAAAAGAGAGAGAAAAAGAGAAAGCAAGCTGCTAGGTCCAGGACTCAGAATCGACGTCTGCCATGTGGGAGTTCGGTACCTTAACCATCGTGCCACACGCTGACTCCAGCATGATATTCTTTTATATTTCCTTTGATATATTACATTCAAAATGTTAGATAACAAAATAATTAAAGAATCCATTTTAGGTATGATTTAAGTATGATTAAAATCTACAGACCAGAAATCACTACAACTAGCCTGATAAAGTATGAAAACCATTTCAAATAAAGTCTGAACCAGGCAGGATGTCTGTACCAAGACTATTTCATATTACATTAAAGCGTCTAGCGAATTGTATAGCACGTGTGCAAAACCTCCTAAATAATAACATTGTTAGTTTATAATTGATATAAACACAATTTAAAAATCCCACTGAGGGGCTCACATAGTGGTTTAGCAGTAAAATACAGTGATCTGTGAGGTTGATCCACATGGGAAGGTTCCAGGTTCCTGTCCAGAGACCTTCCTGAGTACATTAGGCTTATGTGTGCCTATGATCTGGGGCTTGTTGTAGCTGGGATGGATCATGGTGCCAAAACACTATTAGAAGGGGCTAGCTTTGGGAGCAGCAGTAAGTATAATGGCTATGTCTCTGGACTCCCATGTAGTCGACTGTGGTTCAAGTCCCGGACTTGGTGGCTTAAACTCACGCCGGGCGCATGTGCATGCGTTCCCAAGATCCCAAGGCGAGAATGGAGGAGAAGGGATTGCAATGTAGTCATCCCCCTTGGGGGGTGATTTCTTGCTTTCTGTCTCTCTCTCTCTCTCTCTGTCTGGTAAGCGCATGCGCCCTCTAGTAAAAACCTCTACAAAAAAAAAATGAAAAAAAAGAGAAAAGGCTGGCCTTTTGTCTTCCTCTTTGTCTCTGTCTCTGTTTCTCTCATTCCTAGAGAAAGTAAGTAAATAAACTTTAAAATATCCCATTGACATTTTCTTGCAAAACTATTGACAAATATGTTGAACTAACAAAGCATAGCTCAATTTACAAGTCAACATCTCTAACTACTAAATTATTTTATCATTAGTCACATCAAGTAGTCAGTTTTTTTTTTTTTTCTTGAGAAAGAGTCAATAATTTACCTGACCAAAGAAAAATGTTTCAAAAATGTCCAGATATAGTTAGGGTAGTAAGTTTTGTTTCTTGTTATTCTTTGACAATGTTACCCTTTTTAATAATATGCATGAGAAATAGTAGTGTTTGAAAAAGGAACATTATTTAGGGAAAAACTAGTCATTTGAAAGCTTAAAGGCAGACATAAGTTACATAGTAATGGCTTCTAATATTCAGAGCATGCAATACATAAACATTCCCAACATACGGTAGCTTAAATAAACAATAAAATGGCCAAACCAAAGAAATAAAATCCAGATGCTAGTCCTAGGATTTGGTCTCAATAACAATAAAATATACAATAAGTGAAATAATGTTTTATTTATGAGAATAAAATAAATTGCACCATAGGAAATAAGTTATTTGTTGTAGTGAACATCAAAAAGGCAAGAATTACAATTTGATATGTCTCCCAAGGAATGTGAAACTCAGATAAAGGACATAAGTCTAAAATTGGAGAAATGCATAGTTAATATTAATAGAAGTCTCTACTCGGTATCCAGACCTCCAAGTGATATATATCTCCCATCGTGTGCCTTAGGATGGCTATTTCATTTATTAGAAACTACCACTGTCTATCTTTATACAGCTTGGCTTATTTATAGTAGGAGTAAAAAAATGCGTGATGAGTCTATGAAATAAAAAAAAGGCAGAAATAAAAGCAACTTCAAGAAGTATGCTGTGTGAAAAAGATAGTATAACAGTTATATTCAGTATTATATTTTGAGAAATAAAGCCTGAAATATGAGTATCTAAGACAAATATTTTTACAGTAGGTAGTTAGCAAGATAGGAACTGGAAGTCCCAAGATTCCCCCAGAAAGGGTATCTGACACATCACTTATTGTCATCCAGGTTTGCAGCCAGACTCCCTGGCACCATTCGAGGTTATCTGACTTTTACTGCCAAAATTGTCCTTAGGGGTCCTGGAGAATGTAATTTCCCCCACCTCTTGCAAGGACACATATGCACACAGATACTTTCATGGCTGCCTGACTTACAGATACCTTATTCTAGGGTTGTTTAACTAATATGGTCAACACTGTCCGTAAGTGCATGCTCATGCTTTCAAAGGACACACTAGGCATGTGTAAGACTTCCCCTCACTGGGCAGTTGAACTTCCCCCTTAGCAAGCAAGAAGTATGCAGTCTCAAGAAAAGCCCGAGGAAATAAACAATGGAGCCAGCTACAGTGACAGAGCTCCCATCCTAAATATTCGTGAAAAGACTTCACAATAAAAGAAATACCTAACTCCATAGTGCCCAGTAACTTGCCTGCTCAACCATCTCTTGAGTATACTAATTAATTAGACTTATCTTTTTCGTGGCGTTAATGATTTTGGCCAACTGCATGGTTTGAGTTCCAGACTCAGTGGCTTGAAACTCATGCTGGGCTTGTGTGCATACATTCTCACAATTGTGAATGAAGGAGAAGGGATTGCAGTGTAGCCATGCCCCATAAGGAGTGATTTCTCATTTTCCCTTTTTCTTTCTCTGTCTCTCTTGGGTGAGTAAACATGTCCTATTGCAGGATACACAAATAAAAATAAAAAATGAAGCAATTTTGTTTTTAAATAAGGTTTTAAAAAAATAAAACTTATTTGTAGTTTATGTTATTTATTGCAGTAGTGATTTTCCTTTTTAAAAGAATGATCTGTTCAATTTTATTTATTATTATTATCTTTTAAATTTGACAAGAGAGAGAGAGAGAAATTGAGAAAGCAAGCCACCAGGTCCAAGACTTAAACTATGGTCAGCCTTGTGGGAGACCAGTACCTGGACTTCCTTGCCATCTGCTGACCCATAATAGTAATTTTCTTAAAATATAGTTTAAGTTTATATCTGACAATATGGGAATGCTAGAAATTTGAAAATCACTTAGCCTAGCAGTTTTAGTGTAGGGCCTTTCACCAGAATTCAAACAAAATGTTAGCTAAGGTGCGGTTATCTGAAGATGTGATTAAGACTGGAGGATCCCTTCAAAAGTCATTCACTCACATGGCCAACTGATTGGTGGTAGGAGGCTTCAGTTTCCCACTCATTTTCAAGAAGTTCTTTGCACAGGATTGCTTGGGTTTTCCCTTGATATCACAGCTGACTTCCTCCAATGTGAGTGATCCACATAAGTCATAAGTCACAATGCCTTTTATGATCTAGCCTCAGAAACTACACACTGTCACCTTCATGTTACCCTGATGGTCATGTAAGTCTACTCTATTCAATGTGAAGGGAATCACACAAGGTCATGAGTAATAGGAGGTAAGGATTATCTGGGGCCATTTTTTGGATTAGAGTTCACAATGTTTATATCAAAGAATATGTTTTTTAGTACCAAAACACACACTTTCAATTAGAGTAGGAGGTTAATTCTATTGTATTTTTACTCTTCTATATTATAAGTAATGATTCTAATTTGTTACCAAAAGATATTGTTGATATAATGATTTCTTTGAGAAGGAAAGGAGAATGAGAACATTAAATACTTTCTCTCTAGAGAAAGATTTATAGAGTATCTTCCTTATTTTATTGAAATATTCTTTAAAGAATTATAGATCAAAACCATAATGAGATACCATCTAACACTGATCAGAATGGTGAAAATTAAGAAAAAAAATGATAAGTGCTGGTGGGAATATGGTGAAAGGGAAACTCTCCTATATTATTGTTGGGAATGTAAATTGGTCCAGCCACTGTGGAGAATAATATGGAGGTTCCTCAAAGACCTAAAAATAGAACAACCATATGCTCCAGTGATCCCACTCCTGGGTATCTACCCAAAGGACAGGAGTACGCTCTGCTGGAAAAGTCCTTGCACAGCTATGTTTATTGTGGTATTATTCATGATCACTAAAACATGGAATCAACCCAAATGCCCATGAATAGATGAATGGAATGAAAAAGTGTGGCACATATACTCCATGGAATTCTATTCAGCGATAAAAAAAAAACAACAAGACCCTGATATCTGATAGAAAATCTGGAAGATTTATTGATGAGTGAAGCAAGTCAGGCTATGAAAGAGAGACAATGTATGTCTCCACTTAACATATACTGACTGTCTGCACTCTAAGGTAGAGACTAAAAGATTAGAGGACATAAAATCAGTGAAAATAGTTATGGATACTGGAGACAGTGTGGAAGAAGGATGAGAGAGGAAAGTAATTAGGGAGAAAAATAGCAAGGTAAGACATCTGTGGAACACAGAAATGTTTTATTACCTGTTGATGATGACGTGTTTATTATTCTTAACTTGACTGGTCTGAGGTATATTTCATGTTGGGTAAATTCTTTATACAAGCTAAATGATGTATAGTGATTAAATGTATAAAAATAATTTTAAAAAGCAATAAAATAAAGAAACCCTTTAAAAGCAATCAGTTTTTCAACCAAGTACGCCAAAAATATAGACCATGTTGGCATCTAGTTTAACTTCCAAACTATTTCATGTGACACATTTACTGATATATTGCCATAATATAGTGTGGGAGGCTGCGCACCAGCGAGTCTGCTGAGGTTTCTCAGAGAGCAAACAATTGCCATGATTGGTTCCCCTTCAAAAACCTCACCTTCAAAACCTTGCTCTGATTGGCCACTAGAATCCCTCAGATTTGCATATCCGGCACCTCATGATTGGTCCTTAAGCAACCAATCATAACCCACCTTTTACAACCAATCATAACCCACCTTTTACAAGCAATCACGGCCCGGCAACATGTATATAACCACGATGCCTGCCCCACAATCGCCAGACGACCCTGGAGACCCTGAAGAGTTGTGACACCACGTCGTCTCTGTGCTGCTCACAATAGACGACACGACCCTGAAGAATTATAACACTGCGTCGTGCCTGTGCTGTACTGTGCTGCCCACAATAAACAGACAACCCTGAAGACACTGTGTCGTCTCCGTGTTGTAACACTGCGCCGCTTGTCCCGGCTCTCACTCCTTCGCTCAGGAAACCTGTTCGACTGTCCCCCCGGGTCAGGACAGTATAGCATGTATTAGGTTTTTAGTGTGTTCTACCTTTATTCTTGAACTTGGCTATGAATACTGTAAATGCAGGTAATTTTTATGACAGTCCTCTACTTCATTACTACTTTTCTCTAATAGTTGGAATGTATGCTTTATCGATACACTTTTGCCTCATAACAAAACTGTCTGTGTCACAGTTCTGAGTGCCTGACTCTGAACCATTTTGTGTCACCCGTGTCATGGTGGAATGCCTGAGTCCTCCTCCTCAGGAGAAAAAGAATAGTTCTGAAGCTAGAGATGTTTCAGTCCACCCCTTCCTCCTACCCAGTCAGGAATGGCAGAGGTCTTTTCATAAGACACCTGATTAAGCTATTCTGGGAGACTGTATGTCATATTTTGCTGATACCAATCCCTTTGTGGTCTTTGTTTTAGTTCCAGCTGTGAGCCCCTGTGCTTGTTTGGTGTCCTTATAGTCTACTCTCTGGGTCAGTGTGTTCTTGCAGCAGCAGTGCTGGGAATGTGGCTCTTGTCAACGGTAGGTCTGCAGAGGTTGACCTTGGTTTCTTCTCAGGCCTGGAGAGACATCAGGTGGTACTCAGAAAGGCTTTGTTGAATATGACCTTATACTCTGAAACTCAGCAGCTTGAAAAACAAGCGTTCTATTTAGTTCACTGGATCTCTTGCAGTCTAGGACAGATTTCTCCATCTCAATTTGGACTCTTCTCAGGAATACATCCCTCAGTTTGGGACGTATTATTTTGGAAGTTTGATGGTGGCCAGATGATCTAGGATAACCTTATTTACGTGTTGTAGACTAGCAGATACTGGCTATAGTACCTTGGTTACCCTTCACATGGCCACTCTTTCTCTAATGGGCTTGCCAAAGACTTAGGGTAGTTGACCTGGTGGTCTCTGGTTTCAAGTGTTTAAAAAAGTGGTCAAAGCTCAGTTGAGAATCTCATGCATTCACTGAGAATTTCCAGCAAAAATTTCTTAATTGAGCTTTGACCTCCCTTCAACTCTCAGGATTTTGGATACACACGTACCTGGGATGTGTTCTTGTCAGCATTTGCTTTTGTGCTTGCATTTGCACTAATGGTAGCATTAACGTCAGTATTTGCATTAGCATTTTCACTAACGCTAGCGTTAGCGTTAACATTTGCATGTGCGCCACCATTGGCGTTAACATTTGCACTAGCATGTATGCCAGCGTTAGCGCTAACCTTTGCTCTTGTGTTTGTGTTAGTACTAGTGTTTAATGTTTGCTTTGCAATCGCACTAATGTTTGCGCCAGCGTTAATGTTTGCGTTAGCGCCAGTGTTAGCGTTAGCGTTTGCACTAGTGCTAGCATTAGCACTAGCGTTTGCATTAGCATTTGCACTGTTTGCGTTTGCGCTAGCATTTGCATTAGCATTTTAAATTTATTTTTATTTTTATTTATGAGAAGCCATCTTCAGGTCTCCAGGAAAGTCATACAGGTAAAATTCCTTTGGGAAAAAGGCATGGTTATTTCCAAATAGTCAACCAATTAAAAAGGTAAGTTTTAGAGTGAGTTTTATTTATATGATGCAGAGCAGGGATTGGACTTTGCTAATTGGGGTCACCGTTAAATGGGAAAAATATGGTCTGTTAATGTTTGTGGGTGCGACTCTCCCCAGGCCTTCTGGAAAAGACTTTGGAAAAACAGGAAGCAGTCAGACTTCTGTCCACAGTCCCCCGTGTTGGCCAAAAGTCATTCCTTTGAATGCATGTGTAGGCCACAAAATTGACAGGGCCTATGTTGCTAGGAAGGCTCATCCCTAGTAGTCAGATCCCGTAGTGCTAGGAAGGCACTGTGTCATTTTAAGAACATTAATCTCATAAATTCATGATTTGAACATATAAGTACCAATAATATGCAAAAAAATGCAAAAAAAAATACAATTGACAATGATCCTTACATAAACTAGCTTTTACAAAGACAAGATGTATCTTTTGATCTTTACCAGGGGCCTGAGGAGAGGCTCTGAGCCAGAGAGGGCACAAAGGGCCCACTGCTGGTACCAGGCACCAGGTTTGAAGAGTCCTCTCAGAAGATCTCTGGTTCGGCTCTGATCCCTTCATGGTTGCCATCTTGTAGATGGAAAAATAACCAACTCTAAAAATTAATAATTAATAGTTACTGTGATTAATTTCCAAGCAGAATATGAGTAACCTAGGTCCGGAGAGGAGGCATACATGCCTTTCTCCTAGATTTTCTTTTGTGAATTTATTTATTTATTTAAACTTGCCAGAGGATGCATGCATTCTCCTCTCAGGATTTAAGGCACACACACATGTACCTACTTGAGAGTGACAGAGAAAGGAGGAGAAAGAGAAAGTACCCCCTACGCCATGAGGTATAATCATGTGTAATCCCATCTTCTCCATGTCCCCATCCTGTTGAAATTTTAGGCACACGTGCACACAGGTTGGCATTTTTTCAAGCCATTGGGACTGGAATTTGATCTGCAGTCAACCATGTGGGATCCAACTTCTTTAACCACTAGGCAATGGGGCCAGCCTGCTTTTGTAGTTTCACGTGCATGTGTGAAGTCACGTTGTGAGATGACTAGCAGGCTATTGCATGAGTTCTAACATTCCTGATTTTTAGATTGAGTACCAGCCCTTTGATGGGGAAAGGAAGACTGTGTGTGGCCACAGAGCAAGGCAGAGAGAATGGGGCTATACCGATAAGGACACGCACCCTGGCTGTACTCAGAACAGTCCTTTCATCCTCCTTACTCAGCTCGGATCAGAAGGAATAGCCTTGAAGGCTGCATTTCCCAAACCTCTGTGTCATTTGGCTTTGGCTATTTTTGGTAACTGAATGATGCTGACTGGAGACAGGTGGGCAGGAAGGAGGATGAGGCGGGGTGTTTCTCCTATCTCTGCATCCACCAGCATCTCTGAGCAGGCCCGTGTCTTCCTCATTCTGCAGCTCTCACCTATGACCTGAGGCTCTGGGGTCTAGAATCATTGTTGTTCCTGAGAGTGTACAACTACAGCATACAGTCCCTTTCTGAGGCATCCTTGAAAAATCTTGGTGAAAAGAAATCCTCTCATTAGGCAGAATTTCAGAAAGTGAACCTGTGTACTTTGC